AGACACCAGCGACCTGCGCTAGACACCACATTGTACCATTGGATGTTTCATCTCCACTGTAACTTACTTTTCTGTGGTATAACCTGAAGCAGGAAACCCACTAGTACGACAGTCTCCGACACGACACCTACCGACAAGTCTCCGACACCTTCCGACGCCTTCCGCACTTTTTAAGGCAGTAACCCATTGGTCCGACGGGCTCCTTCAGTAACTGACAAGAAATTAGATATTTCAGGCTTTTTTGTAATTTTTTTGCTGCTAGAGTAGTATAAGAGGTCATTATTTGTCCATCTAATTGTTCTTTGCTCGCATAATCTTTTTCTATAATAGTTGGTCAACAATTTAAGAACCAATGACCACTCAAATCCAGAGAACTTGCATTATTGAAAGCATCAGAATATGTTCAGGCAGCTTTTATATTGTACTGTATAAAGAAAGGGATGTTCCCAAACCGCTTCGATCAAACGTTCGTCAATACTCATGTCACACACAAAGCTAGACAGTGACTAATCTAGGCCTGGTGCACTCAGAGTGGAGAAATGTCGGATCCGACATCCGATAATAATGCCCCAGAGAGCAATGTTGTCGTAAGGTGTCGTGTCGGACGTCGGACTAGTGGGTTACAGTCCATTGAAAGTCGTGCAAAGTAATTTTGTCCGAAGGTGTCAGAGACTTGTCGTAAGATGTCATGTCGTAGAGTGTCGGACCAGTGGGTTTCCTGCTTAAAGTGCACTTTCTCATACCTTCACTTAGTGTTAAAAATGGTTGAACTCAACTGTTGACATTTGTGATAGCAATTATCTTCAAGAAGACAATCTTGTTATGACCAAATTTGGCATTTGGTTATTTATTTGTATTGACTACAGCAACAGTTTTTGAAGTTTTAGAACATGTGTACGGTAATTCAGTCATTGATGTGCATGCTTTCATTGCAAGTGTTAATTGTTACGTTAAACCATTGTGAAACATTCCTTTTTTCTTAAATGAATCTCAGTTCAATCATTTAAAATTTGTTTTCGTGTTTGCATTCTAAAATGTTTTTTTTTATAATCAAGCTCGAAAGAGAAGCGCCTGTATTGTACAAAATGCATTGTGCCTTGCATAACAGTTATATGCAGTCTTCAAAAAATCGCAGGGGGCTTTAAATCACATAAACTGTCTCTTTATCATTAAGCACTGCATCAACATTTAGCAGCACAATTTAGTAATTGCCCATCTAAAAAAAGAGGATTAAATATTTTAAAAGTAATGGTACTGAAGATATGTAGGCCTAATATTAAGTTCAATTAAAAATACAAAATACAGAGGAGGCATATCGATAAATATTAAATCAAGATTATTTTATTATAGTCAGTCAACATTTCTTTATTCTTTACATTGTTTACATTGTTATATACTAGTATTTTTGTTTAGTTCTACAAGATTATCTTTAAAAACAACTACAAAAAAACCAAAGAAAAAAGAAGTATAGATAACATAATATATTGTTTTATGATGCTGTTGACTTTTTCAGCAGGAAATCCATTTAAATATTTTATTCCAACATAACTTGTTTTTTTTTTTCTCCAAAAGTGTTGTGCGTGTGTCTAGTAAAAGAGGTAGCTTCTAAATCTTCTATTTATTTCAAGATGATCACCCATAGTATTTTAAGAACTAATATTACTCTTTATCCACATAATCAATTTCAAAAATATATAAACTAAACACTGGTAATATACCTAGCTCAGGGAAATAACTTTTAGTTGTATCAGACCATCTCAATTTTAACATTATTCTAATTGCTCATTTTTTATTTTATGTAAATAATTGTTACTAGATGTGACTGGGACGGTAGCGTTGTCCTGTAATCCAACTACTAGGAGGTCACGAATTGTGGATATTTATATGCATGCACTATGGATGCGATACTCCCTGGTGTGTATAATACATCTGCACTAATGAGTACTAAGACTATGGGCAGTACTATCCTGATATTTAGACCAATTTGTTAACTACAAGGACAAAATGTGGTTTGGATTCCACTATAAACTGTAGGTTCCTTAGTTGCCATTGGCTGTGTGGGCTATTAATTAACGGCTATGTCTAAGAAACATGTCGGCCTTAGTCACTAACAAGACTATAAGATCGCACCACTCATCCTACACTCATAATTGGATTCAAATACGCACCTAGGGGCGTCCCCATCTTAAATAATTAATATAATTGATACAATTGATTGACCATACAGAATAATAAAAAAATCTGAGAACAAATTATTGTAAAATAAGTTGCTAAAAAATAATGCTAAACATTGTTGAATATTTGTTATAGTTAACAAAAACTAGGCACTTCAATGTCATTATGATTTTCCCCAGCTACTAGCTACTTTAAAGTTTATATTATCGGCATATAAAGTTATCTTTGCAAACTGTAACAGATACCCATTCATGTAGATTAAAAACTAAAGCGGACCCAATATAGAGCCTTGAGGAATTCCAAACTTAACAGTATGGTGAATGGAATGGGATTACTGTTTATGATTATTTAAGTAATTAATATGAAAAAAACTGATTTCTTTCAATTAAGTAAGTTCATGACAGACGTTATCATTTGATAAATCTGTGAAAACTTCTATCACTTTTTCATTTTTGTCCAAAGAAATGATTGATTCAACAAATTTAATCCCAGCTAACTACAGATCTGCCAGCAACCAAAATTAACAAAATGCTTAGATTGTGTTGATATGTTGTAAACTATTGTACAATGTTTCTCTGGGTGTGCGGATGTGCGGATGTGTGTACAGAGTTACAGTCTACACCTGTGGTTAGATTTTGATGGAATTTTGTAAGTGGGCACAATACATGGTATCTCGCACATAGTGGCGTCCCCATCTTAAATAATTGATATAATTGATAATTGATAATTGATAATCTCCTTGGGGGGTTTCCATAAAAAACCCAATTAAATTGCCTAAAGGAAATATTGGATTTTTTACAAAAATAGCTTGCGCAATTTTGATTCAAGTTAAGTATTATCGTTTAAACGAATAGTACAACCATCAATGTTGTAAAAGTTGCAGTTCAAAATGTATTGTAATTTTTGAGATTTCGCCCCTAAAATACTATAGTTACTCCCAACTCCCGCTGCTTAGGCCTGTCCTGCCCATTTCAAGGGTTGACAAGCTAAATTGGAGAAAATTGAGTCACTTCTCTGATACCATTTTATTAGAACATTTTACAAAGTGTTTGTGCTCAGTCAAAAATATATCTAAAATCAATAAAATAAGGTTATATAACTTACATTCATATACTCAATGTTTTTTGAGACATAAATCATATTGGGTAAAGGTGGCCCATAAGGATGTTAATTTCATTGTGATTAAAAATTAAATCAGAACCATACTTGGGTGTTCTATGTATCAACTACTTTTTTACTGCAGGCTTAAGTCTAACAATTCATGTAAAAATGTAAAAGCAATTTGCTTACTCGGAAGGGTTATTTCACAGGAGTAGTACCTCAATATTTCCTAGTGAAAATGGTGTGTAGAGATGTAGTTGTTTATTTACAGAATTAAAGCAATATTGTACTTGTGTGGCATATTTGTAAATCAGATTCTGAATTAGTCACTGAACTAAGTGTCAATAACTTAAAAGACTATCAGCTGATAAGTACTATCACGTTTTGGCCCTGTGAGTGCATAGCCTTAAAATTGGCTTTTGACTGTTGGTTTTTGACCCTTATTAAATCTTGACTTCTTATCAGCCAAACAGCTCATGTACACACTTAGATAATGTGAAGCTTGTGCATGTTACGATTAATTATTTCATCATTCTGTATAGTTTGTGAATTAGAAATAGCTATGGAATAATTTTAGAACCACTTTTAATTAATTTAACCAACAATTATGTGATATTTAACCAAACATACAATTAAGTGGAAGGTATTTGATCAAAAATAATAAAACTTACAAACTTAAACATGCCTGATATGCTGGAAAATGTTCGGGAAATTGTAATGATACTGTTATTACCTATTGTTTTGATGATAAAATGATTTTGTAATGAACGTGTTTTATAATAAAAGGGTGCATGGGAAATCTTTCCCTACTACCCCTGAAATAAAATTCCTCTTTGCCCCCCCCCTTACAAAAAATATACTGCTGGCAGGGTCTAACACTAGGGAAGATAGATTTTAGTGATATATTTTTATTCAGATTCAAGACCATTGCATGTTTTTTCTTGTTTGTTGATGTTGTTTGTTCACTGTAAATTAATGTTACCTGTCTTCTACAATAGTTGAATTTGTTAAATTTGTGTATGTACAGTAATTGTAAAGCACTTTAATACAAAACAATGTAAAAGTCATTGTATATGTATAATATAGAATTGATTATTTACACATTTTCATGCATGCAATTAATTGTAAAAATGGTAATTTGGCCGTAAAAATACATAAATTTATCCTAGATGTAAGTAGGCACGCTATTGCAAGATAGTAATATACTTTAATTGTGGCATTTATATCTGGTTACAAGTTAGAAGCACATTAAATATATATATATATATATATACAAATACGAACATTAACATTCAATTATGAATAACAAACATTACTGTAAGAGCATATAATATTTAAGTACAGTAATTAAGTGGTAGCCCCAAAAGCAATACAGTTATATTTTCAATTTTTAAGATACAATACGATGTACAGCAATCCATTTTCCTTTCAGGTGAATGTTGTTCAGTAGTTCAGTATAGTAGTTCAGTTAAAAACCATGATTTCTATAATAAACTATACCACTCTAACGTCTTAACGAAATTAACAAGAGTAAAATATAAATTTAGTCGTAAAATGAGTATTCGCTGTTTAGAAAGTCATTCGTTCTAGTATTAAAAGTGGGTTAACTTAAAATGAACGTCCTTGGGTTGGCAACGAACAGCTGATTTCTCTCGACTTGTCTGTCTGCTTGCCTCGTTTCGTTCCTGTTCGTTGCCTGCATGCAGAGCAGACGATCAGTGGCCAGTGCATCAGTGCCGTGCCGTGCCAATGTCTGATGTGTTGGAGGTGCGGTGCTCTCGTTAACTCTTAAAAATAATTTGCCGGGATTATGCTTTACGGTTTTGTAAGTGTTATCTCTCTCTTAGTTTATTATAATCATAAGTAATTAGTTTATTAGTAAACAACCTTGGCATTTTTATGTTTTCGTTTTGTTAACTCAATAAATGATAGCAACATGGGTAGAAATTGATTGTACATTTAAGGTGTTTAATCTAATTGAATAGCAGGATGGCGATTTAAAATGAGGTTTCACATTAAACAAAATAGCCGAAACTGAAACTAATTATAGTCTAATCTAATGGCCCACTTATGATAGTAAGTTGTATTCTTGTTTTAATAAGGATGGGGCCTGTTTTTATGGATACTCTTTGATGGATACACCTAACTTAGATTTGCCAATGGTTTTATAGGCTAACTTAATTGGCCATCACCCAATTACCGGATTGGATCGGAAACAAGATATTGGCCAAGCCAAACTTTTTATTTTACCATCAAAAATATTAGGTTAACAAAACCACATTGTCCCCTGAGTAGTTTTTGGGAGTTTTGATACACCTACTGAATACTGGTAACAAATTTTCAGGTTAAGTTATAAGTTTCAGAGTTTAAAAGCCTGTACTTAGGCCTACTTTTAATGGTTTGTAGGGTTGTAGTCTGGCCAACTATACTATTAAGATGTGTAGATCTATCAAACATAGGCCTTAGTAGGAAAAAAAATTGTCACAGCAGATTAAAAAAGAAGTCCTAGAGCCTAGAGGCTATCAAAGCGTTATTCCGAGTATACACGTTGATAGACACAGCTCATCGCTGCAAGTGGCTTAACTTGCTTTTTGCAATTTCTATTGATAGGCATTTATTAGACTAACTTGTACAAAAACTAAGGTAGCCTAATTTAAGTATCAAGACACAATATATCAGTTAAGTTTATAGTACCGTGAATTTAAAAAATGAGACATTAAGGTATTTTTATAGCTATCTAAAACTGCATTGTTTTTATTTCCACAACACTTGACACGTCAGGGTGAAAACAATGAGAATGAGTGTTGAACAAATTGAATGACAGATCCATTACTACAGTAATCATAGTTATTCACTTGACTTAATTAAATTTAAAACTAGAATAAAATAGTCTAGAAAAACGTAAATTTTGTAAATAGTTTCCTAGCCTATTTGTCAGTCACTAAACTGAACTGAACTCAGCATATAGGCCCTACGGCGCAGCATGTTAAAAGAGTAGTGGGCGGCCCTCTTGAAAAGAAAGAAGATTAATTCCGGTAACAGAAAAATATATATTTACTTATTTATATCAAATGAAATATTTTAAAGCTACCTTTTTACTGTGCAGCAAATGGAAATTTTCATCCGATGATATCGTAGGTTCTTTGCGGAACTGTGTCCTTTTTTTAATTGATCTTAGCTACCTAAGCTATATGTTTTGTGTAGATGGCCATAATTTATTATTTTGACAAAATTATTATAAATTATCAATTGAGATTCAGATGCCACTATGTGAGTATTTTAACCCAAATATGAGTGAATGATAAGTGTAGAATGGAGTAAGATGATACGTGTTTGTTACTGAATAAGTTCATCTTTTTTATCAGCCAGAAGTCGGAATCATTTATCTAAAGCTAAAGGTAGGCCTAAATAAGACAACCCAATTAACTTTGTAATACAAAAAAAATCACTAAACCAGTCAATAAGTGAAGTCAAGTGTTGCCATAAAGGCTGTACGTATGATGTGGTATTGAAGTTGGTACAACATTACCTATGTATTTTAAATCAGCTAAGTTAGTTAGGTATTGAATTATTACATTCCTTACTTAAAATGTATTGGAATTGTATTTTATAGGGTAATAGTTAAACATTTTGCTTGGCCATTCATCTTCATTTACCTTCATCCATGTTCTATTTTTAAATTACCTCTATTTAACATTGTTATATGCAGTTAAATCACAAATAAAGTTTAGGCCATTTTTCATGGTTACTATAAAACCTATTTAAGTAGTCTTTCATAATTTAAAGCTAAACTTTAATTTTATTGCTAATAGGCCTACATGGATACGATACCAATCAACTTCAATTTTTATAGATTAAGTGAAATATGAACTCCAGCAAAGTTGTAAGATAAGTTTCTTAACAGGATTCCTTCTTAATTTTATCAGTAAATACCAATAATTACAAACAATTATCCATTTTCCCCTTGTATATTTATCTGTTTCTATTCTAAAGACTAATGTATTGCTTGTAGTTTTACATGGTCTTTTACTGTAATAGCTGTAATGTTATGTTATCAATTTAACTTGTTTCAAATCGTAAAATATTGTTCAATGTTAAAGGAATGTAAACTAGACTTGCATTGTAGACCAAGGTCATTATACAGTTTATGACAGTCTTGTGTGTTATGTTAGATAAGGACCTATAACTTTCCATGCAAAACTCACAGAAACATCTGTAAATGTTTCAAACTTATACAACTGTCAAGGATTAATTTTCTTGTAAAAATTGCTGTAATTTGCAATTAGGAATCAGGTTATCTAGAGTAGGCCTAGATTCAAATGTCAAAGTAGGTTTTATTTATTTATATTTTTTTGTAAATATTGAATTATTAAATTTAGTTTAGCTATTATTCCAACAGACAATTGGTATGCAAGTTACTCTATGGGAATTGCTACATTTTTAAACTCCACTATGGTTTTACGGTATAAGAGTTAGCACACCTTGAACTTCTAAACTATGTGCTATAAATAACATCACTGAACGTAACTTAAGCCTAATGACTTTAAGTTGACTATGAATGAATCACGCCTCAAGCTAAACTATCTTAATCTTTTGTTGTCACACTCTGGTTAGTGTTTTGCCAACATGCTTATTTAACTTTGCTAGTTTAAAATAATGAATAGTTTTTTTAATCTTAAAAGATTTGATTTCACACAGTTATAATTCTTAAATAATTTATGTTTGGGGTGTGTAGGTTGCATCTAAAATGAACCATTTATTAATGTTTTACAGCATAACTATGTAAAAACAAGAATTCATTTTCCTTTTGGCTGATTGGTGTTTTATTCCCTGTATGACATACTTGCTTGATGGTTTACTAGCTGCAAGTAGTAGTAGTCAAACATAGTATCATGTTTATATCACTGTGTCACAATCCAAAATGGGATCCACCAATGTGCATTTTAATCCAAACATAATTATTGAAAGATGAATACCCTGTAAGTTATGAGACGTTTGAGACGAGTTATGAGACGAGCTGTCTTGACTCCAAAATGGCATTGTATGTTGAACAAAGGTACCTAGTGATTTTTAGCCTGGATCTAATATTTTTGGACTGTCTAACCCTGTATTTTGGTTTTCAGCTAAAATAACAATCAGTTAAGGAATTGCAATTGGTGCTTGACAACATCAAAATGGTCTATTGGTACTTTGGGTCGTTTTTTGGTGCAGTTTTGTTTGTCACATATTATCTCAAAGAGGTTGTCAAGGTAAGCATTTGTTTTTACTTTCTGTGCCATTATTTTATTTTAGGTTCAACCACATAGCCTAAATTCTAAGTTAAGCCCAATATTTATCTTGGTAATAAGATAGGGTAACTAATTTAGTTTTCGAATTAATTGAGAAATCATTTACTTAAGAATCATTTTAAACATGCAACTATCTTGCAACACAATCCTTAAGTTTATTTTATATTTATAAATAAATCCCTCAACAACATCTTATATCGCTTTTGAAGTTTTCAATCGATGTAGCCTATCCTTGGTCACGGTAAAATAACTCATGAATTGACGTGATTAGTCCTGCTTGTGACTCAATTTGACACGCAAACTCATGGTACCTACAGTCCACTGAAGTCCCTGACATTTATAAAGGGTCATGAAAGTCACATTAATTCAAAGGATCTCTAAGTTGTGTTTTTTTTATCAGGGCAAAGAAAGTTAAATCGTTAAACTGTTTAACTTTTGTCGTCAAAAGTTATAGAAGTAACAACGGAAAATCAATCTTTTTTTACTAGGTATTTATTCCAAAGAAAATTAAGTCGTACATTGAACTGTGCATTTACGTTTTTCTTATAATTTACTTGGTGGTTATTCATGCTCTCTGAAATTCAAGTTTTTTTTAATACAGATAAAGTGTGCATTAATTATTACCACAGACAAGGGAATCTTGTCTGCGATATTAAGGAACGCGGCAGCGTTCCGCCCCGCCAAGTCCCCCAGCGGTACACAGCTGCTGCAGTGTATATATACATGACGTGACAAAGTGGCTTTTTTACTCGTCTATAGCTCTGAAGAAACAAAAGCTATTAAAATAATTGTTCATCCACTGGATAGGGGCAATCATTCTTGGCAAAATAAAAAAAAGAATTTAAAAAAAGGTTGTGTTTGAGCCAAGAAAAACTAGTTTGAAAATTCACAAATTTTCCGTGTTCTCCTTCTTCTCCTTAAATGTTGACGGACCTACAGCCCAAACCACTGGCTCAATTTTAATGTTTTTTATGTTGTTTGAAAGCCCTTAGCGTGTAGATGTGCCTTTTGAGGGTCACAAGTCGGTGCGTTGACCCATAAACCCTTGGCAAGCCCTCAAAGTACGATTTTGGCCCATTTAAATAACATGGGATTAAAATCAAAACAAAAGAAGGATCAGCTGCGATTAAATCTCAATTAATTTAAAATGTTAGAGAAATTCATAGGATCAGCTGAAAAATTATTTTAAAACTTTTATAAAGTATTTTTTTCAGGTATACCGAATGATTTGAGCTACTTACTGTATAAAATTACTTAGAGCAGTGATATTCCCCGATACTTTCCATTGAAAAATGCAGTGTACCGATGGTACACTGGTACAGCAGCTCGTCATTTTTAACAGTTTAATACTACTTATCAAAACATATGAAACCTAGGAACTTGAAACTTAGTACTAGTACTAAGGTTAGTTTTAACATTGTTTCTTCATAATATTGCCAAAATTTATTTAACTAAATAAGGTTAGTTTTATGTTTTGATACACTATAAAACAAATAAAACAATCGGGAAAATCCGTCTACGTATGTTAAACAAGCAAAAAAGTGAATGTAAAAAGTGATATGTAAATTTAGGATAAAAATGAGTTTTTCAATATTTGTTTTGCCTTATGCTATTTCTAACAAACCTAATCTGTTTGATTACATTTTTACTTCTCTAATAAGGGCTCAATTTACACTAGTCTTTAGATATACGGGTTTAATTATCGGAACACTTATGTAACACCAATGCATTTTATGTGTAGTTGTGCCCTGGTCTATATATAAGAGAAAAGAGGATTTTTATTTTAACTGTGTAATCAACCTTTAACTTAGGTCTACAATGGAAACTCCATGTACAATTTCGAAACTTAAATTTATTAATTATAATACAAAACTGATAGTAAAGAAAAGAAAGGGGGTTCACAATAAATTGTACAAACAGTGGGAGATGAATTTACTTTAAAACTTTAGGCTAGGCCTATTACAATGGTTTTAATTATTTAGGTTCAATGTTATAATTTACTGTAAGGATCTTAATCTCAGGTGGGGTGATCGAGCGGCATTTGAATTTAATCTTGTGATATAAGCCTAATTAAATTTTGTTTTAAAATATAAAGTATGTTCGAATTATAGATTGGTTGAATTAATAATATTTCTGAATAAGTTAAGCTTCTATTAGTTCTTGACTTTGAGTATAAATGTCCAAAGGTTTTAAAAAAGGTTTTAATGGCTTCCAAAGGGGAAAATGTCTATTGGAGTTATCTCACCAAAATTGATGTCTTCTTTGAAGTTAAGTTCTTGATGTTATAAATTATGAATGTTCGTCACAAGGATGGTTCTTCTTTCAACAAATTTCACTAATTTTGTCCAAATAATGTACTTTTTTTTTAAAAATTTTGATATTAAATATGTAGTGTCTAATTTGCATCTTCATACTATCTTGGTTCTATTGGAAGTGATGATGGTCTGATGTATTGTTGCACTCACATATGTCAATGCCGACTTAATAATATAAAATTATAGGCCACTGTTCACAAATATATTATAACAAATTTCATTTACTAGAGAGCTAAATTAAAATTTTGAAAAGTTATTTAAATAAATTTATGTTGAATTTGAAGCAATTTTGTTACAAAAGTTATAGGCTATTATATATTTACATGATATTAGGTTATTTGAAAATTTCTATATTATTGTATTAAATTGATTACCTATTGGTCTGCTTGGTCAATTAATTACTATATATGGTTTGAAAAGGGATTAACGTTTAGATAAAATGAAAAACATATGGTGGAAATTAAATTATTCCATTAAAAAAATATTGGTGAAAATATTGAATTGTTACAACTGTTAATTTTCTACAAAAATAAATACAATCTAACAAAAAACCACTAAGTGGTAACACTTCCCCCGCCAAGTCAGCAACCCAAAAAAGACAATAAATCACCACTTTTCCGCCAAGTAAAACAATGTAATGTATGTAAGTTTGGCCACTTGGCGGCAGACTTTTGCTTGGTTTTTTTCATTGAAGTTACGTTCGTGGATAATTTCACAAATCAACTTCTCTAATTAATTAGTCCAACTAAGTATAATAATTTCGAGGTAATCAGTAAATATAAAACCATCACTATTACGAGTTTATGAAATGTGGCACAAATAAGGTCAAATTTTGTAAAATAAGCTCTCACCTAGCAATGTACTAATGGGAGTGATACTTGCTCAATGAAACTAGTTTTATGGGTATTTTTTAAAGTGATCGAGCAAAAGTCTGCCGCCAAGTTGCCAAACTTACATACATTACATTGTTTTTCTTGGCGGAAAAGTGGTGATTTATTGTCTTTTTTGGGTTGCTGACTTGGCGGGGGAAGTGTTACCACTTAGTGGTTTTTTGTTAGATTACAAATTCTTAATGGATAAAGATCACTTAAAAAGTTACAGATTTTCATTTAAGGAATCTGGTGGACCCAATCCATTCAATTTTTAGTTGAACCTCATTATTAAAAGAAATGAGCTATTTTACATTTGTTTAGAATTAGTTATCAGTAAAAAAAGTCAGACAGTGATAAGAAGTTCAAACTGGACCCATCTGGCCTTGCTCACCAGGCATTTAATAAACGACAATAGGTTCCTCCCGTGTATTCATGTGGGTACAATTTAGAAGCCAACATTAAAAAACAAATACCAAGATTTAAGAATATAAGTTTTATTAGGCTATCTATACAAAATTAAAAAAAAAAAACGTTAGAGAGAAAATACTGTAACTTAGGATCAATTTAAATTCTTAGAACTTCTTTTTACAGTAGACACCCTCTTATCCGGACACCTTTAACCGGATCACACTCGGCGGAAATGACATCTCTTTAACCGGACAATTTTAATCAGCACATCGGTTTAACCGGACTAGATCGGCAGGAAGTGGGCGGTACTGAAACGACTGTTCTCGAAAGGAATGATTTGAGACCAGTGATGACGTGTCTAAATGCAATACTTTCCTAAATTTAAGTCAAATACACATTTAAATGGTCCGTTTTTACGAGTTTTTGGGGACTTTGGTTTAACCGGAAAAACCGTTATCCAGACTGGCCTCGGTCCCGAGGAGTCCGGATAAGAGGGAGTTTACTGAATACAACGTTTGAAGTAATAGATGCATTATTGTTAGGGCTGTATTCTACTTTAACTTTTAAACTATCAAATAATCGTGCTCTTGACATTGCCACATAAAGCTGCCCGTCTGAAAAAACTGGCTCTGGCAACCAAACACCAACGTGATCTAGAGTCTCGCCCTGGGATTTGATAATTGTAATGGCAAAAAAATGCAAGTCTACTGGCTAAATTTAAGTTAATATATTTTTAAATTTTATAAGCTATTATATATATATATTTTTTAAATATATTTTTACCGTTTACCTAACATTTTTTTGTATCACTTTAATAATATAATACATGCTGGCTTTTAAAAAACAGCTGATTGTAATAATATATCTTAAAATGCAGAAGGTAGTTATTTATTTTTTGTTTTTGTTTGTAAAAGCTTAACTGTATCTTAAGATGGTAACATTTATTGTACTGAATAGTTAAGTTATTAAATTAAATTTTTGGTTGATCATATACTGTCCCTTAATTCATCCATCCCTTAATTTTTGGATTCCCCTAAACTACTTAGTTGGTCTACTTACTACTGTAACTTATTCAGTAACATTAAGTCAATACAAATCCGGATATTAGGATAATGGATGAAAATAATTATGTTCATGTTTTTAGGGGCTGGGTCAGGGTTTTGTTAATTATGTAAAAACAAGGCTTAGTCACATTAATCCCCACTAGTTTTGTAAACTTGTAAAATTGTTGCTGAATAACTTGTACGGTTTATTCTTTACAAAGATTACCCTACAAAATTTTTCAACAGTTCTTTGTTGTATAATTTCAGCGTTTATGCATGTAAAAAGTTGTACTAATACATTACATTTTTTACAGGCTCCTCTTCTATTTTGTGCCCCTGGAAAGTTTAGAAAGTTCATAGAAGGCAACTTAGAGATCACAAAGCGCAAATTCTGGCCGACAGTTTGGTGTTTTGAGTCACGAGCGCAGACAGTCATCTCCAGCTTCATCAGAGGACTTATCTTCTCCAGTATTAACTATGAAAGGTGACTAGTCTATAGTTTAACCACCAACTTGTATACATTGGTTGTTATTTTTTAGGTCAGAAAGTTTTTGATGGTTGGAATCTAGCTGTCCTCGGACATTTGGCTTTGAACTAAAAATGATCCTGGCTAATAAAACAGGTGGTCAGTAACAAAGCTACACAAGGCATCTGACTCCACTATACTAATCCCTTACTCATTTTTGGGTTGAAATACCTACGCCTAGTTGTGTTCTTTCATCTCGATTTAATGTTGATGAAAATTTAAATAAAATACAATTTCAAAAATGGAGTTGATTGTATTGTTTATTGGTTCTAGAGGGACATTATCAAAATTGTTTGTAAACTTTTACTTTTTATCAGTCTTATAGCCGTTATAATCATTCAATATTTGACGTGTATATTTTTCTGTGTCAGTTTTTGGCAACCTAATTTTTTAGGCTGACGTGTTTATTTCTACAGTTTAACTTATGGATAGACAAAAATTAGTAAACTCTTTTATTTAGTTTTTTAGTCACATCTATACCCATATGTCAGTCAATAGCAAAGCCACAAACTTTATGTCTATGAGTCATTCGTAAAGAAAACAATGAATACTGATTGTAGCGTTGTAATGTTTAGAAGGAACAATGACTGCAGACAAATGATGTGTGATGTGTGACTAGAATTGACTTAAGTGACCCTGTGAGCCTTCTGGAATTTTAGCCACTTCGCATTTAACACAATTCACTTATTCACTTTAAATGATTTAGTATTATTTATGCTTAGATTTAGAGAGTTGTTACGGTATTATTCTAACACCATTTATTGGAAAAATCAATTAGGAGTATACAATTTTTCTAAAAAAATTATGTTTAAATTTTGATGTTGGTTGTTGGGAATAGCACTATTTAACTGTGAACTTATCACCTTTGAACTGAACGGTATTTTAGAGGCAAACATTAAATTCTGTTGCACCTGTTGTTAAATGTTCATTTGATGGTTAATTGACAGTTAAATACTTTACTAGCTTTCTCTTGACTCAGTAAACTTTTTTTAGCTGTTTATATTTTTGTGAATTGATATTTCACTGGTTTTTAGCCCTGCAGTGTACAAGTAATTGCACCTCCCTAATCCATTACATGGGACATTATTGATTCCAGTGACGCAAAAGCGTAATTGAAAGCAATTCATTCTGCATCAGAGAACTCACTGTATTATCCAAAAGTGTTTTCATTTTGTAAATAATAAAACTTACAAGTATGAAAACTTTTAAAACTTTATGTCTACAATTTACTAACACAAACACTACAGGATATTTGTTATAATTTTATAATAATTTATGCTATTAAAGAAATTTTGTATTGCACTTCATAATAGGTCAAATATTTTTCTTTACATCTATGAAATGTTTTACTACGATCCTTTGCAAAACTGAACATTTTTATGTCTTACCTGTGATATCTGTCATATGAATAATTTATGATTGAAGGCAAACTATGATTATGATATGGGCTGACCCTCTTCACGCAGAACACAATTCATATTGGAAAGGAGCGTTGAATTACTCTTATGACGTTTTCGGCAAGTATGACAAGACACACTGTCGTATAGGAGTGGGAACCAGATAGATAAATAGTGTATGTAGTAAAGAACTGAAAGAAGATTTGCTCCAGCTGGCTTTTCTGCGGTAGCTCGATGTAAACCTAAATTTATGTACATACCTTGTAAAACACTATCCCTACCAATCGTAGTAAACGTCAACTGAAATCACACAAAACTCCTCTGTCACAACACAAATTTCAAAAGGTTTACCCTGAAAAAGTCTCATTAAACTATTGTTCTGTTTCAAGGGACATCCTGACTCTGAAGGATGGTGGAGATGTAGCTCTAGACTGGCTCAGGCTGGAGGGAGCGACAGACGAGACTCCTGTAGTGGTCATACTACCAGGACTGACAGGCTCGAGTGAGACTGACTACATCAAAGGCATCGTCCTGCAGTGTCGGGAGCGAAGGATCAGGGCTGTAGTCTTCATGAACAGAGGCATCGGAGGAATCACATTGAAGGTATGAACTTTTCATTGTCGTTTTGGGAGTTCCAGTTTCGATATGTGCATGTTTTGTAATATTTGCTTTTCAGTCTTTTTTAAACAAATACAAACACTGTTTTACATGTAAAAGTAAATATAAATTTTTTTCTTTAACTTTTTATTTGGTGGAGATCTTACCAGCCAACAACAGCAGTACAAACATATTATATTCTATTCATTCATAGTGTTTTTAAATTTGTACGAGAGTTGTCTTTAAATTAATGTTTCCATCGTATCAGTCACAGCTAAGAGAGATATCTGAACTTGTAATTAATAACTTTTCCACCCTTTTGTCTTAAAAAAAACTAGAATTTTACTTATCCCTGCACACTTGCAGTATTATTTTTTTTGTCGTATTTAATGATTTGATGAATGTGTTTCCAGACGCCAAGAACTTACTGTGGAGCCAATTATGAAGACTTTGCTGAGGTTTTGCATTATGTCAACAGAAAGTATCCCAAATCACTGGTTGGAGCAGTTGGAATATCTATGGGAGGGTATGTTTTTATTTTTTTTTTTTATTTTGTAAAATATTTATACTTACTTTATTTTAATTGAATGGTTTTAAATTAATGTACGTAAAGAATGTCAATGTTTATAGTCTCCTGAATAATAATCAGTAGCCAACGTCTTCTTTATTTTTTATTCATGTCAAAAACACTTAAAATGCACAACCAAGTTATTGCCTCTTTCTGAACCAAAAAGGTATTTTGTTTTTGATATTCGTATGAGGGTATAAAAACCGATAGACCTCTTAAAACATCATTTGGTTTTTTACATTGACTGCTCTGTTTGAATAACCATCCAAGAAGTTCCAACACAAGTCACAATTAATCCTACCCTGACAATGTTTATCAACAAGCAAGGTTTGGGAAGTTACTTGAACGAGGGACTTTTTTTTTCAACAAAAGAGATATCGACTAAATTTAGACATTGGTAATACAAAACACTCGATAAGTAGAAACTTTCGATAATTTAAAATACAGGCTCAGTCCCTAGAAAATCTCTATTTTGAAATTTTACCATGCATTTTAATCCACTCAATACTTCCAAGCAGAAGGCAGGCCGATTGAGAACAAACAGTTATTTGAAGTTTTGTCGGCAAAACACTCTAGAAATTCGCTAGGAGGTGACAACCACCAATTTCCACTGGCGGTCCCAGGGGTAGGGGATGGGAGGGATATATCCACACTTTCTTTTTTCCCCCTTTTTTCTTGGGGACATTCCATACCCCCAGACCCCCGGTGGTCCCCCCCCCCCCCCCCCCCGAAATCTAATCCTGGGGGCGCCACTGCCAATTTCGAATTCACAAGAGTATTACTGTATTTTATCCTGAGAGAAGTAGACATTATTTCATGTACGAGAATGTACGTTTTATGAAATAAAAATATGATGATGATAAGTAAAAAGTCAGTATAGGCCTACTGTACATGTTTGTGCAAAACTATTATCCCTGATCATAAGTAGCCTATTTTACTAAATGATCCTGACTAAAGAACCAGCTCATTATAGTCATCAAGCAATCATCTCATTTATTCAACAATCTTTGCTCGTCTTCACCTGGGGTCTTGTCGAATGAATCTAATGTCTAGTGTAATCATATCCAACAGCCTGATCCTGGGCAACTACCTGGCGGGGACGGGTGAGGAGGCAGCTAGACACCTCAATGCCGCTATGATCATCTCCGTCCCGTGGGATGTGTTTAAGGGAGTGGAGAGTATTGAGAGGCCTATCCTCAACAGGCTACTCAACTATCATCTGGCCGGCTGTCTGTGCAAAGTTTTAGCCAGGTACGTAGCTAGGTAATAGTTTTACTTGTACATTATCCGTGATTGACCAAGGATCAACCGCAGCTTGGATTAACAGACTTCACTTGAATTCCTACATTAGTTCATTGGAGGTAAGGAGTTGCTCTGTGATTTTCATCAAATCTGTGCAGTCTTGCTCAGTAAGGGAGGGAAGGTTGAAATGGTCAAACCTGTGTACTTAAAAATTTTACACCCTTTGGGTTTGAAAAGGGTACTTGCTACCAAGGAATCCCACTAATTAGGTTTGAAATTAGATTTATCAAAGGACATTTTTACTTTGAGTGACTTAATAAAAACCTGCCAAAAATCTCGATTGGATATACTGTAATATATGTAATGTGACTTTTATTTTGTTTACAGGATAAGGCACGTTGTAGAGCCAGCTGGTATCTGGGACATCGACACCTGCCTCAAGGTAATTAGATCAAACACAACCAGTTGCTGTAGGCCTAATGTTTAAAATAGGTTAGAAGTCGGTTAGTTAGTCTTTATAAATCTTGTAAGTAACCATAGACGACTTTTGCAACCAAACCCTCCAGTAGTTTATCAATGTAATGTGTGCCACCTTATCAAGACGGGGGGAGCAAGCTGGCGTAGTGGTTAGAGCGCGGGACTTCAGTCCCTGAGGTCCCAGGTTCGATCCCTGCCAAGTCACCAATGGACTTTATCTAAGTGATAATGCCGTAACTCCTAATCTTCAGGTCTAGCCTGAAGCATTGAATATATACCCTATAAGAAAGACACGCCATGTTAAAAATTCAGACCAGTTCGACAGGTCAAAACGCTAGTTCTCGCCTTTGACGCGAGGCAGCGCTAATAGTTCTTTCAATGCCTAGTGCCGGGTGCGGCAATGTGCGTGCGTGCGAGAGCCTTGTCACGTGACACCAACCCTTAACGGGATTTCGACTCGGCACTCGGCAGCCCCCTGCCTCAGCTAGGTGTCCGGTGATCGAGTCGAGATGCTTCTTCCTTGCCTATAATACATATAGAACCACAGTGTCGGATGTTGAGACGTATGCTCACTGGATGTGTAGGCTATACTGTCATATAAGCATTTTAATTTAATTGCTTTCCATTCCATTTTATTTTTACGAATTTTCGCAGGTTTGCTGTTAATCACACTTTGAAATTATGATTAAATTAAAACAAGATTTGTCAACTAAAATTTTTTATTTTACTGTTAATTATTGATGTTGGAACCAGTGAATTGAATTTTGTTGAAGCAAATCTGCATTATCACTTCCCATATTATCATATGGAGAATCTTTTAGCTTCCACATTTATGGACGTAAGCTGGTTTTACTTTAAAGAAGGCCTCGTCTACATTTATTATTTTAGCATTTGAAATTTGCTCAGTATGCAGGTCTGCTGCAACGGGGTATTTTTTCTTTTTAATACACAACAATCTTAAAACCATAATAGGCCTAATGTCAATAATCCAAAATACATTTATATTAATTGCAGGGGGGACATGGATCAAATACAATTTATTTAACAAACAACCACATTGATTGGTAAAATAGCGTTTAATGTATATACAACTAGTAACTATATAACATTCAAGCAAAATTGTACAGGAATCCACAAATATAACAAACTAAACTGATTATAATTAGCTATAAACCAATTTGCAACTAAACTCAAACATTATCATTCAAAAACAACAAACTTTACAATATAAAAGTACAATAATAAACACATTAATACATTTGTACATTAATAAAATATAAATAAAATAACAAAAATATAATAAAAAGACGATGCCTATACTATAACAAGTTGAAAGAAATTTAACTTAGCTTTTACCAATCAAAAAGGCAATGAAAAAAAACATTCAGCAAATCTAATAATAATACTAAATACAGTAGGTTTTATAATATAAAATGGTAACAATATAATAAAAACAAGTCAAGGTATGAAATTGGTTATACAGAATTTGTGGTATCAAATATCATTTTTTTTTTAAATACGTGCGTTGCATAAACACAATTGTGTAAGTTTTCAACATTTCAAGAGTCCTTTTGATTTTATGCATCCAACTACGAATAATTTATTGCGTTACCAGATTTCATTAAATATTTTAAATGGAAAAATATCCCAATCATTTTACACACTGACTGTTTAATTAGTTTATTAAAATATATGTACATATCTCAGTAAATCGAAATGAAAAAATCTAGTAGTCTAAATACATCTACAGGACACCCTTACATTTGTTTTCCCTCTTGTAGCCTGTTAAACATGAGACAGTTTTTTTTTACCTTTTTGTTTAGTTTTACGTGGTCGTCCTGTGAAACTCTTTTTACCCTTATTTTCAACAATGCTGAGTCCCTGATCTCGTTTGACTTCCACTTTACACTGTTGAATAGTTTGCACCTCACTAAGAATTTTAACATGAACAACTTATGTTCTTTACACTGCACCAACCACTGAGGATATATCTTCTCGGTATGTAATGAAATTTGCTCCACCAATGTCTTGGCAACGCCGGTGCTTGCAATTACCTTTGGAAGAATATTAGCGAAGCAAAGTGCTTGAAATTTTACAACTTTGTGAAGAAAATCAGATGGCTTGCACAGCTTCGCTAATTCCCCGGTGTGTGTAGTGAAGGTTTTCATCAGTAGAAGGTGTTCCCGCGGTATAAATACGGTAGAGTTTTCTTTTAGAAGATTTGTTTTGCATGTGTCACAGGAAAATTTATCAATACACTTTTTCCCAATCCAACCAGATATATAACAAATAACACTGTCTTCAAATAGTGTCACTTTAATTTCTTCTTGGACTGGCTGCTCCGGTTGCTGGTATGTATCACAGGACTTAAAATGGCTTAAAATAAAAAAAGTGTGAAATTTAATGTTTGCTATGTTTATTGTCTACATTGAAGACGGGGATTTTCAATTTTTTTTTTCATTTTGAAGCAATTTTTGGTACCTTTCTTGAGTATTTTCAAAAAATGCCTAATAGTAGATTGTAGGAAATTTTATTCTCTTTCGGAATAATATCTTCCACTTTGGTCGATTTCCTCACCATTTAAAAGTTATTTGCAAAAACGTCAAGTAACCTCCAAATTTTTAGTGGTAAAAATAGTTGGAGATTACTTTTTAACTTTGTACAATTAAATCTACAGTTCTGTTGGACCGATTTTGTTAAATGATGTGTCTTTGGAAGGCGTAAACTCTTTGAGTTGCTTTTTCGTTTGATGTGTATTTTATAGCGGTAAGTTTAATAGTTTAAAAGTTATAAAGCGTTAAAACTGGCCATTCATTTTGAATAACCCTGTATTTTGTGAAAACAGTAATAAATACCCTCACCACAGCAAACCTGCAGACTATGCGAATTTCCATTCGCTTGATTATATTTACACTAAAATTTATCTTTAAAAATGTTAGAAAATGACACTGTTGACAGGTTTGGAACTGTTGTGATAGCTTTTCGTTTACAGTACAAACTACTCAACATGTTTTATGAATAACTGTATACCTCATGGTGGAAGGAAAATACACAGGTGTGCTATTCCCGTCATTTGCTAACGTCACCCAGATTGCAAAAAAATCAGCTGATGTATTGCCTTAAGTACATAATTTGTTTTGATTTGATTGTTATTGTTTTCATAATTATTCTAAATGGTAAAATGGTGTTTGCAATCTGAGTGACGTCAGCATATGATGGGAATATCACACCAATGTATTTTCCTTTCACCTTAAAATGTATACCTTAAAATCAGTCGTTTATTTTGGATGCTGCAACAAGCAGAAGTATATTTTTTGCATCGTATTGGTATCTCTCAAGCCTTTCATGACCTGTGTTTCATGCATTATTTGTTGTTGAAAAAATATTTATTCTTTTTTTACTTAACTTAGCCATAACATAGTTGGTTATACATTGCACTTGATTTTAGTAGTTGTGTTTAGCTAAAAAGCTGGCCCTATTTTAAAACCAAGCGGTTTACAGTTAGTTGACTTTTGTTTCTAAAATCATTAGAAAGAGTAAGTTAGTAATGTTATTTTTCTATAGTCAATGGTAAGAGTGTTTAAGAATGTGCCTTGCATTATTAAACGGGTAAAGTGACACTTGCTATTAAGGATTGACGAATTAAGCCAGCGGTTTGCAAGTTATTTGTCAATAACATATTTACTGAAATTAGAGTGGTAATTCGGAGAAACAAGGCTACGTTTCTATATAAATTAAATCATTTGTACATCGGCACATCTTTTATATCATCCTATGTAGCCTAAATAAGTGTTCACGGTCAAATATATATTCAACAAGTATGCCGGTTTGATATAAACAAGTATTTAGGATTGGTGGTTTCTTAACGATGAACTCAAAAAATTGAAAATTTCTTACCTTTCATTGTCGTTCACTGGGAAACTGAAGAATGACAATTCTCGGTTCTTCGCAGGCGTATTTTCACGGTTAACATACGAACATTTACCACCTCTAGACATTTCACTACTAACTAATAAAAACGATATAGTATACAACACATTACTCACTAATAAACTAATTAAATATTGTCTATACTAGTTCAGCTAAAGACACTATTATACTAAGAATTGCTATTTTAAGTTTAAGGAGATGTGATATGTAGAAGAGTGACAACTAAACTGAAACCTAACCAGTGCTTATACCGTTTGGGGTATTGTTTCCATTAGAACAATAATAGTTTGAGGGACGAATTTGTTCTCAGAATTTCTCATTATTTGACTCGTTTGGCCGTTTGCTTTCTCCCTGACCCAACTCCACCAGGCAGATTTTCTATCTCTCTCCCTCAATATCCTCGCTCTCTGTCACACCCCCGGCGCGCTCTCTCTCGCACCCTCGGCGCGCTCTCTCTCGCACAGAAGGCGAGGAAAACTGGGGTTGGAGAACTCTGGTGGCAAAGGCGAAATGTAGCACTTGAAGACGAACATATTGGTCTGAATTCTGGCCATAAGATGTGTCCTTCTTATAGGGTATATATTCAATGCCTGAAGTAATGTGAAAAACAATCCCAGGGTCGTGCCTAGCGTCCTAGGACAAAAAAAAAACCCTTATCAAGACGACATCCAGTTTTACAGTTCTGATAAGTAATATTACCAATGGGTTTCACGTTAAGGGAGCTGATCAAAATGAGTTTCCAACTTCCAAATGGTCTTCAATATTTTTTTAACGTTAATTGACAAGTGAATATTCAACTGCAAAGAATAGAAAAAATAGAAGAAAGTGAGAAAAGATGCAAGCTAAGTGTAGAACATACAGACAGCGTAGCGTTACGTAGCGCAGCGTAACACAGAGAGCGCAGCGTAGCGTAGCACATTATAGGTTGTAGACAGTTTTAATAAGGTACATAAGTATAGAGGATGGCTCTGTCAAAGACGGCTCGTATTACTCTTGTCAAAAATACCTTAAGGTGGCAGTTTTTGATCAGTAGGAGAAGTGTCGGGGTGCATGAAGTCTGTAAAGGCAGGGACAAACATGGTGATAATCACCTCTTATTTCCAATCCTTAGGAAACACGAGTCTTGGTTTATGGATTACACAAGAATGTCAACTACAACATTTGATTACATATTTAGTTTGGTGAAGGATTATTTGGAGAAGCTGACAACTAATTGGAGGAGACCAATTGGTGCAGAAAAGAGACTAGTATTAACTTTAAGCGTGTGTGCAGTCGAATGCGCCCCAGTACGCTATGAGAACAACAAAATAGTTTGTTCCTTGGTCGTACGCTGTGCTACACTACGCCGAAATACGCTACTAGTATGTCATACCTCATTTCAATGCACGGTTTTCATTTAAAACATGCGCTGCGCTGCCCTATGCTAAGCATGTATGTTTTTACACTAAACAGTAGCAAATCTTCTTATAGCCCCTGGACTCCTTTTTGACAAAATAGAATTTTTACCTCGTTGTGTAGTCCACATTTTTGTCAGCTAAGCTTAATTCCTTATCAGCTATTTGTCTTCAAAATAATACAAAACAGTAAAACTCTGTGTGGGCCTATGACAACACTGAATCTTAGCAAGCTAAAACAGTTATTTTTCTGTTATATTGTAAAACTTTTAACTCAAGTTCCCTAATTTCTACTTAAATTATCCCTCGCCTCTTTGTAACCAGAGTTTTTACAACATACATGTACGAGTAGATATTTGACTCAAACTTCTTCCGCAGAGCTCCACCATCAGAGAGTTTGATTCCAACTTCACGTCCAAACAGTTTGGCTACAGAGACGTGGAGGACTATTACACTCACGCCACCATTCACAACAAGCTGCACAAGATCTGCTTGCCCACTTTGTGTCTCAGTGCAGGCGATGACCCGTTCCAACCGTTTGAAGGTAGGCCTAAACCGAGTTGATTATGCGATTGACTTTTCAATACTGAGGTAGACATGAGTGATGTGTCAAAACCAAATCTCAAAACCATCAAAACTTTGGAAAAATTTCAGTTCCGAGATTTGATCTGCGATTTTTGAAATTGAAGATTTTTGCCGTTTTATTTTTGAAACTGCTGATATTTTTTGCGTATTTTTTTGGTTATAACTCTGTTTCCACAAAAAACAATAAAACCATGATTACCATTAACAGTAATTAAAACAGTAAATTGTATTCTGAACGTCAAAAGGTATCTTAAATACTATTACAGGCACAACATACAATTCAGTTTCATGACGATATTTACTAAACACAAAGAAATATTGACCACTAAATGTTCTAATTAATCTGATATTCATGTTTATGTTGGTTGTTTATTAAAAATTATGTTGTTCTGCTTTAAAGTTTATCAGTTTATCAGTAGCATATTTTTATGTTAATATGACAGTGTCAATCTCCTTCAGTTTTGATTGCATAATTAACATGTCATTATTACCTGTATTTTTTAACCTTAACCTTTGTAACCAGCTACCGGTAAGTAAAAAGTTTTGCATTTAGGTTTTGAGATTCGGATTCGGGATTCGATTTTTTAAGTTTCAGTTTCAGTTTTGAGATTTGAAATTTCTGGTTTTGACCATCTCTAGTAGAGATCCCATCTATATGGACCAGCAGTCACCAATTTCTTTCATTAAAATACATGTGACAATTTGAATTGGTGACACATTGACATTATTTAGTGATTAGTTTATTTATGTTTGGTTCATGTAACCGCTGCAGTCAATGATGATGTCTAAACATACGGTACACGGAAGATTTCATGATAAAAAAAAACAAATTTGCTAGTTAGAATTTTTTTTTGCTGCATTATTTCTTTACTTTAAAACATCACATTATCATAATAGTACTTTATGACAAAGACAGGGGTTGGTGTAGTATTATTTTGAAAATTTGGTTAAGCTATAAAAATTGGTATCGGTATCAAGAATTGATAAGCGATACATTTTGCTATCAACACCCACTAATTGTTGAAAAAACTAGTCTTGAAAAATCTGGAATTAGTCTTGAAAAGTCTGGAATTAGTCTTGAATTTTATAATGGAAATAAACTAGACACCCTGGTAAATGTTTTGAATAGTTACTATTAAAATGAATGTGTAAAAGTATTATTATCAATAGAACTTGAGTCCATTGTGGCCTATAACCCAAACTTTATGTATTCCAGATACAGTAGAACTTACGGTCTAACCAAATTCGGTTTAACCAAAACCCGGGTTAACCAAAATGGTTCTATAAAATAATATAGGGCTGTAAAATGCTTTAATAACTTCAGTTGTCTGGTTTAAAGCATTTTCTATCCCATTGTAACATTTTTGTAGCTGAAATAAAACACTGAATTATATAGACATTCTCTTAAATTCATTTTTCCTACACACTGTGGTGATACTATAGGCTATTTTTAGCATATGATGGGTTAACCGAAATGGCTCTCCCCCCATTATTTTGGTTAACCAAGGGTCTAATGTACTTATACTTATCTAAAAAAAGTGGAACACAAATTTTTAGTAGAAGTAGAATGCTTTTTCGAAATATTTTCGTCAGTAAGTCATGCGGTTTTTAAAAAAAAGCTACAGTAGACTCCCTCTTATCCGGACACCTTTTAACCGGACTACACTCAGCAGAAATTACATCTCTTTAACTGGACAATTTGTATTAGCACATCGGTTTAACCAGACTAGATCTGCAGGAAGTGGGCGGTACTGAAACGACTGTTCTTGAGGGAAAGATTTGAGACCAGTGATCAGGTATCTAAATACAATGCTCTCTTAAATTTAAGTCAAATACAGTACAGTACAGTATGCATTTAAACATTCCGTTTTAATGAGTTCTTGGGGACGTCGGTTTAACCTGAAAAACTGTTATCCGGACTGGCCTCTGTCACGAGGAGTCTGGATAAGAAGGAGTCTACTGTATCTTGTGAAAAAAGTACAAGATTATGTTTATTTTATTTTGAGAGTTGATTAATTCGACACAAAATTGAACAGTTGGTGCCTTCTAATTAATGTATACACAGGTAACACTAATCAATCTAACCGTTTGGTATGATGAGGTAATTTAAACCATTTTGTACTTAATATACCATAGACACAAGTGTTGATGTTATGTTTTTCAGCGAATTTGTTTCTCTTTGCTTTTAAACATTTATTAAAACTGTGCATACCTAAACTTTCAGAATAAATTTCATAATTACTTACTGGCTACTTACTGGCTACTCATTGGCTGCTGGTGCTTATTGATGGGATAAACCATTGCATACGTATAGTACCATACCTTAAAGCAATGAATACACAAATTATAAGAAGCGCAATGCCTTAGTAAGAAATTCAGTCTGGGAATATTTGAATTTCGGATAGTACCCTCGGCCGCTGGGAGGTAGACTGTCGCAAGCGCACAGCCAAGTCAGTCGACTGAGTGTGAGAGAGTGAGGCAAAGAATCAGCTTAGGGAGAGAGAGAGAGAAAAAGTAGCGCGGCCGCCCTCAAGCGAATGGTGTTTTTGACCTCTGGGGACATCAAAATGAAAAAGTAAATCGGTCCCGGGCTTAGGTCTTACCATGAGACCTACGGTAATAGCTACTTCTCTATAGGGAAATTCGCTAATAATAATAATAGGCATGAATATTTCAAATCTTTTATTAAAAAATATCAATAAAAACGTCAGTACAAAAAAAAACAAATATTAACTATGCCTACATTATTAAAAATAATTCTTTCGCATAGGAAGAATATATTTCAACTTTGAAAAATACAAAAAAAATGTCAGTCTGAAACATCAGTCTTACTAGTTAAGTATCAAGTAACAATTTTTCTGTCTTGCGTTATTTTTAAAATGATTTTGGAGTGACTTGTTTTGGCTATGTTTACAGTAGTAAAACATTGCTCACACTGCTTACACTTAACAAAACTTCTTATCATTTTATTTTGCTATGCCAAAAAAAACAAGTAGAATAAAATTTAAAAGCAATATTTACATGAGAACATAAGAACGCCTTCGCAAAGAAAATTCAAAAACAAAGCGCTGTATTACATTGTATTGACTTTCTCGTCTCGTAGAACGATTCAATTTAAAATTTTGAGACTTGTCCATCCCTATTGTTGTTTCACCTTTGGCTTTGATGAATAAGTTAAATGATCAAGCCAACCTCTTTAAACATTTCATCTTTCTTAGATAAAGTTTTTTGTCATCCTAGCCTCGAAAATTTTACAAGACGTTTGGGTGAATGTTTCAGCTATCCCGGTAGATGAAGCTAACAACTCCGATCACGTAGCCATTGTGGTGACGGCTCGAGGAGGACACATCGGCTTCATGGAAGGGTTCTGGCCGTTCTACAACAACCAGTATATGTTTGAGGTTTTTGGTCAGTTCTTCGAGTCCATGTTCTACAAAGGAGGCTACAAACTGCTAGATGACGGCTTGAAGCAGAAAGGGAATTAGAAGCAAACACATTGTATGCATTGTAATGGCTGCTGCACATTCCATGTGATAAGGAATGGTTTTGAGAGGTTTTGTTAATTCCTGAGAGGAATTCGGCCTTAAAGAGCCTTGTGATTTTTCCTTTTCAAAAGGAAATAGTTTAAGTGGAAATGTATTTGATTTTTCAAGGGATGGATGGGATTGTTTTAAACTTGTCATCGAATAACTCTATTTAGCTGTCATATCAGTACTTTGTCTAAATGTTGCAATAATATTTATTTAGGTACACTTAAATTAATGCCTAATTTATAAGTATCCTAGTGTTGGATGCTTCACTATACTTCAATACTTAGGTGTAAGCCCTACAGTATTCCTTGATAAAAAGCAATAACTATTTTGTAATACTTGAATATAATTCACTGTAAAATTCTAGTTATTTTTTACTCTAAAATGCTAACTCGCACATCTTTGTGGATCTAGTAGGTTAGTTTTTAACTCTTGTATCTTTCTAGTCCAAAAGTTTGTTAAGATGGATTTTTAACAAAGAGTTACCCAAAAATCATGCTTAAAATTTGCATGATGGCAAATTTGCATGATGGCAAATTTGCATCATGCTTGCAAAAATTTACCATTATTAAGTTTTTAAGTAGTCTTTTTATAAGTAAAATGTTAGCACAGTGCAATCTCGGGCAATTTGCAATTGCTTTATTTTTTTATTCCGAATTGCATCTATATATGTAAAAATCTATGTCATTCATTTGCAATTTAGGTGTGCTAGCCTTGAATTCAAATTGTTTTCTTGTAGTTCCCACTTGTAATATACATAGGATATATCCGATTATATATAACCTCTAATTTGTTGTCTTTGTGATTATTATGAAGTTGAGTGTTTTGACGAGTGATCTGAAACCATGGAAGATTTGATTCTAGTAAATACACAAGTAATATGCATTATCTTGAACAAATATATGAAAGAGGTTCAAGCATTCGCCTACTGTAGTTTTTCCAAAATGTGCAGTTATATTTGAACATTGCGGACGGAATGGAATTCAATCCATGGTACGCTCATCACGTACGTCGGTTTTCAAAACCTTAAGAATATAATTGTCTGAGTCTTTTAATGTCTTCGATGGTATACCAGTTATAGGTGCAACAACTAATGCAATAAATAGGTTAAATAAGCATCAGATTCATGAAATAGGTCTGGATGAGTGTGTCCTAATAGTAATCTTTTAACTAACTATTTAGTTAGACAAACGTAAATCACACCAACCTCTGGCTCTTCATAAATACAGAGCCTGGTAAAGGTGTATAGTCAAAGACACTACTAATTAATTACAGTAGGCCTATATAAGAAACTTTTCAACTTGTTCACTTTATAATCCTTCCTAGAGCTGTATTAACCTTGACAGTTTCAACTCTGATTATACTCAAAAGTGTGAATAGGTTCATGTTTCATATTTACCACTAGGCACCATGGATCTAGACTCATATATTTAGCACTTAAATAGCAGTTAGTTCTTGTTGCATACTCATAATTTGTATTTATTCCATTTTGTTTTTAGTTCTGATTGTTTACGTTAGTTATTAGATGTTGTACATATCCGAGACATTTCTTGCTCATAAATAGTTGTCTAAGTCCATTGAAAACGTATTTTAAATATGTTTACCATTGTATCTGTGATTGTATAAATTTACATTTTAATATTAAGAGGTGCTCCAACTTAGGTTTTTGAGTTTTCAATGATACATGTAGTATTAATGAAAACTGTGAGATATGTTATACAATTAAAGTTTAATTGAAATTGGAACAAGTCAATAAATGATTGTTGTTAATTTAGATTGTCCAATATTTATTTTAAGCTCTATCCTTTTAAAGGTAGTATTTTCTTTAAGTAAGGTTTATGTCAAGATAATAATCTACTTAACTTGGAGTGTCTCTTTTCATTGTTTTAAATTTTCTTAAAATATACTTTTGAAGCAAGTGCCATGCCTGACTAGAATGTTTCACCATTGTGCCATGCTTAGAATACAGGGTGTTCTATAAGCATCATGTTTCTCAAAAAAATATCAATTTTGTAAATCTTTACGCGTTGGTGCAAGTATTTAGTTAATAGCTTCACTTTATTGTAAATAGTTTAATCGATGCTTAGCATGCCTTCGTCACATATAATTAGTCAATCAATCAATCCCCACTGTATCTACTGTATCTTGTACTTTATTGGTATTTGCATATGATTAACAGGAAACCCTCTTAATTTTGAAAACCTAAAATTGAGAATGAGCTGTAAATGTTGTCAACCATGCAAAAACTTGGATTCATCTGTGAATTTTGGGCCAAACCTTACAAACAGGGATGGACCAATTCCAATTTTTGATACTTTGTTTTTGGATTAAATAACGATTCCAGAACCTCAGAAGGTGTTAGCAATGACTTCATAGTATCACTCTATTGCAATCACAAGATGTCATAAATTTTCAATCGCAGAAGTTATTTGAATAGTTTGCGCCTTAATATTCCAAGCTTGACGTCCCGAAAAGAATTGAAACTTAAACTTAGCCAGAAATCAGCAATGAACATTTACCAACATTTGCTTTCAACTTTTGCTTTTCAACTAACGTAATATTGGGGAACAAAGCCACTTTAAATAGTGTTAATTTTAAGAGTAAAGGAAAGTTTCACTTCAAAGAAATGCCTAACAGATGTAAAGGAGCTTGGTGCAATATTTAAATACTGTTCTATGAAATTGCGACCATACAAAGTAGGTACTTTAAGCCAATTTCAAATGGAGATGAATGTAGGATAACAATTTTGACACCCTGTACAATTTCTTAGACTCTAAGGGTTTAAGGCAATTTCAATTATTGTTTCTATTTGAGTCAAGTTTTGCTCATTGTAATAATTGTTGTGTGGCCGTTTGGTGAGCAAAGAGATTAAATTTGTCATATTATTCTAACTCAGATTAGTGAATAATAAAACATGAAATATTTTCTCCTCTCTAATGATTAACGATTGAATGATCAATAGCAGGAATACAAAATAATGAATAAATTACATGCAATTTTCAGGTAATTGTAATAAAACTTATTGTCTCAACAGTCGAAACAAAAGAAAATGTTAATTAAATGACCACAAAATATTTCCTGTTATAGTAGTTTACGTAAAGATAGTGTTAACGACACGAGTAGAAATTTAAGGCGAGTGCCTTAAAAACGTCCACGAGTGTTGTTCAGACCTATTTAGGCAATTGTGTTCACTCTTTTACGACAGGTTTTACTAACAATCACTACTCATAACTTCTAAGAGAGGTTATGTTTTTGTTTATAACCTCTCATTGCCACTGACAGTGATGCAACGAATCATTGTACCAAAAAATAATTGCACCACTCAACAATTAAATTGGCATGAACAGCTGATTAGTTAAAGTTTGAAGTAATACAATTTTACTTCTTTTCTCTCAATCGGTGGACCTTATTGGTCCATTGCCTGTGTTGTTAAGTAAAAAAAAAAAAACAATTATGTAAGTAAACAATGCTGTTAAGAGTGTTAAGTGAATCTTTTCAATTCTAAGAACTGAACTGAAACGGCTAAGGTAAAAGCCTTTTCCATAATGTTTGTATCCTAAGTTTTACCTTTAAGACTATCCAATAGTCAATGGTTTTACCCAAGATTGCAGAGGTTTTTAACCTTTGTATCTCTATTATATCATATCTATACGGAACCAACCAATTAGCTTAGCCTTGGCTTACTATGGTTAGATAGTTTTTTAAAGTGGTTGTATCTTACGATTCCCTCCCTATTTTAACTTTTTCTCCGATCTTGTAGTTATAAGTAATACTAGTAATAGTTTCAGCAACTTACTTCGGTCACATAGATTATCTTGTGGTACACTATATTGTGTAATATTTTACAGTTTTAAATCTAGTAATAAATAAATTGCTCTAGTATGTAGTAAATTACATGTCCTGTGATTTTTTCAGTTTAAAATTAACAAACTGTCATTAGTGCTATTGATTTTATTGTATATTATACAAATACAATAATTAATTATTTGTTTAAATTATTAATTACTCCTTAACAATCCAGATCCCCTAAAGTATGTTCTTACTCAAGAACTTAATAGTTTCATGAACTTATTGTCAACCATGATGAAGTAAATCACACAAAACTTGTTTGAATCTTAATTCAAGATTTTTTTTATTTTGTATGTTTCTCGCCAGTGGCATTTTTTACTTTTTGAGAGGGAACAGTCCGAACCCTGGTCTTGTTACTATCTAATGTCAACCTTTTTGTTAGATAGCATCATTAGTTCATAGCCCAATGACAAATAGCATCTTGGTCTGGAACCGATCTTGCTTGGTATCAAACCAGCAACCTTTAGATTTGAAGGCGAGAACTATAACCACTCAGCTACCCAGACTGTAAACAAGATTGGAGCTGCTATGGTTAGTTCACCAGTGTTATTTAGATGGTAGGCCTTGAGGTCTGATTGGCTGAACGGAACGGACTAAAGTCTTGTCTTTAGTGATGTGTCGAAACTGAATCTCAAATCTCAAAACATCTCAACTTTGTAAAGGGGAGAGCATATTAAATGTGGAATTAACTCTAAATCTCATGAATATCAAATTAAATTTGAGACAGAATAGAAAACTAGTGTTTATTGAATAACGATAAAAACACAAAGGTCAATAATCAAATATAAAAACATAAACATACTGTATTATTTAAATAAAAATAATAGTCACATGCTTTCTTATATACGGATCATGAGTGAAAGTCCAACACTCCCCCTCACGAATGATCTTGGTAAAGTGATTTGAGTCCAAGTTTGGTCACATGTCTTTCAAAATTAGGTTTTCCGAGAGCTTTGGTTTGAACATCAGCCATCATTGACTCTGTAGGAAGATATTCCAGTTCAATAGATCCTTCTTCAATTTTTTTTCGAACAAAGTGTATTCTCTGTCAAATAGATAAAACATACTCCCTTAGCAGATTTCCCAACCTTATGGAACAGCTGAAGCCAATTTTATTGTTAGTTCTGTCCAGTGTAATGTAGATGTTGTGTTTTGTTTACAATTTGTTTCTATTATTTTAGGGTTAGTTTCTCATTATTTGTGCCTAACTGTTTGGTTATATAGCTAGTGGACGAGTTATTGTTTATGATTAGATAGTTTTATTTGGTTTTAAGGTTTTAAATTACTGAAATAACAAGAAACGAATTGTAAAAAAAACATAGCATCTACAGTACAACGGACAGAACTAACAGTAAAATTGGCTTCAGCTGTTCCATAAGGATGGGAAATCTACTAAGGGAGTATGTTTTCTATGGTGTGATCTAATTTCCATATGTTTTGATTTTGCACTCACAACAGGATTTGAGGCTATGTGTTATGCTGCTTGATTGTCATTTGTAGATAGTTATCTTCTCATGATAATCTCCCATATCATGAATCAATATTCTTAAGTGAAATGCTTCTTTGGTAGCTTCTGTGATTGAGTAAAATTCTGCTTCGGCAGTTGAAAGAGATGTACTCTTCTGTTTTTGAGATGCCCAACTAACACTTCCATTAGCATGCATGAAGCAATATTTAGACAGCGATTTTCTGTTTGTTGACAAAGATCCCCACAGCATCAGCAAGTCCTGCAAGTTGTTTATTTGATTTTTCAAATACCAGTGACTTATCTTTTGTTCCTTGAAGGTATCTTAGAACACACTTCGCAGCTTTCCAATGCTCTTGAGAGTAGTTATTGTTAAGCTGACTCAAATAACTGACGCTATATGCTATGTCGGGTCCAGGGGCGGACTGGGTACTCTATTAGGGCGTAAACCTTGACCAGCCCGAAGGCGCCAACCGGGGGGTCTGGGGGGTATGGAATACCCCCCTGTACAGAGGGGGGTCCGGGGGCCCTCCCCCGGGAAATTGTTTAAAAATTATACCTGTAAACTCGCAATTTTTAGGCAATCTAGAGGCATTAACAGTGGAAAATCAGAAATCTGATAACTGACACTATTGGTCAATGTTTGGTTTACAAAATTTAGACTATTTACCCACACGACTTGGTGCTATTCTGACAGTAAATATCCTAATAAAAATAAAAATACAAATGATTTTCTTAGGCAACACCTCAGAAATGATTTTCTTAGGTTCTTTCGTATTATATTTGTGTACGGTATTTTCTTTATTTTCCCATGCATGACTTGGCTGCATGCATACAATATAAATCATTTGCTTCCTGTTTACAACCTGAACTTGCAACTGTTGTATTTTTTGGCACTGTAAATAACGGAAGTTATATATTTTAGATTTCTATGAAATTATTTTAACACAAACAATATGCTTTCACTGTGAACAAAACCAATTTATTGACTTAAACTTTTTTAGCATTACATTAAGTCAAAACTGTAACCCTAAAGTAGGCCTACCTAACCTATTTCTACAAACGAAATAGCCTAGAGAGAACTACGAAGGTATTTTGAGCTGGCTATCTGTAAGTAAAGTAGGAAAGTTGACCAAATTAGTGCCATAGTGCATATTGAAATAATTAATTAATAGGCGGTAGCCACATACGGTATTAAAATAATGTTTACTGTTTAACCTTTACTGTGTAATGGTTAAGTTAACAAATACACTGTCACTAAATCTAATTTAAATTTTGTAAAAGTAGTGATTCTACAATACTGCTTTCGTTCATGTTTCCTGTGTAGGTAAATAATATAAAAATAAATTGAAGCTTTCGACACAGAGACACAAATCAGACACTCACTAAAGAGAGACACATTTTAATTGGCAGCTCACACTCTTTATTTATTTATTACATGCACGGCAAACGCCATTTTACAAGAGAGTTGAGTTGACATTGATAAAAATTAAATGTGACTTAAAGTGAAATAGTTATAGTGTGAGCAATAATGAAATATTATAACAAATATGAATAATATTAAATTATCTTCACTAGTTGTTTACCACAGACGACATCGTGACACCGACCGATGTCGGATGCAGTCGCAGTGCAGTTTTTTTCGGGTTCGGCGCAAAATGACGCGGGAAGAGGACAGCTGTTTTTAAGTACCTCAGACAACAGAGTAAAGTGCCTTCCACTCGGAGTAGGCCTACACGTACGAGAGAGAAGAGCTGCTTTGCTCTCGCTTGTCGACAGTGTCTATTCAGGTCTCACACCCGACTTTATGTTTTGCTATTCACTGCTGAAACTTTTACCTACTCTAAGTTTTTCCTCTTGCTTTCTAAAAACACATCTCGTCTCATTTTTTAAAATTTTTTATGAATTTTTCCTTTAACGAGGGCGCAAATATTGGAATGTTGAGAAGGCGTGGCGGGCCAGTCCGCCCCTGGTCGGGTCTCGTTGCAGCTGCTAAAAACATCAGACTTCCTATAAGGCTTATTGACTGTTTTTTTTTAACAGGGAACACCTACTACTTCTATCTGACCTTAATATTTCTAGCTGGTACTAAACTAGATCTATTCATCCAAATAAATCATGAAATGGCAGCTCAGAAAAACACAATCAAAAGGTCTTGAGTAACATTTATTTACATTCCTAATAAAGTACAGTTGGAATTAAAAACTAATCATAACTCTTTTGACTGATTTTCACGATCTTTCAGCATTTCAATAGCTGCTTTGGGTGCCTGGTTACTATTTTCAAATTTTAATTTGAGATTTTCTTCCATCAGCCTAAAACAGAATTTGAAACAAAACATAAGTGTGCCACAGGTATTAAAAAAGATTACAAAGAAGATTTTTCCATAAATATTAGTTAACAGATATATGGAGTGAATAATTACTAGAATAGAGGTAGATCTTGATAGGAACACATATAATTAAGGCTCTAGATTATATTTTGACCTGGAGGTACATTCAGGGTGTCTAGTTTATTTCCAATTTAAAATTCAAGACTAATTCCAGATTTTTCAAGATTAGTTTTTTCTACAATTTGTGATGTGTTGATACCATAATGTATCGATTTTCGATCCTTGATACGGATACAAAATTTTATAGTTTAACCAAATTTTCAAAATAATTTGGTTATACTATACCAACCTCTGTATTTATTTCATAAAGTATTACAGGTATTAGTAAGATAATGGGTTGTTTTTTGAGTAAAGAAAAAAATGCAGCAATGAAAAGTTCTAACTAGCCAATTTGGTTTTTTTTTGGATCATGAAAATCTTCCGCGACTGTGTGGACATCATCATTACAAACTGCCATGGACAACGAAACGTCATCGTCTTGGTCCGCGATCGCGGTAAAATAATGACATTTCCCATGGCCATGTTGTTGAGGAAGACATCATCGTTGTCTCCCTCGGTCATGGAAACGTCATCGTCGTCTCCTACGGTCTCTGAAACGTGTTTGTAGTCGTCCAATACAGTGTAAACCCAAATACACTACTACTAAATACTTATTATGTTTTTTTCTTAATTTCAATAACTCAAATTTAATGAGCAAAATACGATTTATAACATCAATTTTCATGCACAAAGAATTTCTTCTTAAGCGTAAGCAATTTAATTTCAATGAGAAGAGCTTTTTTACTTACATTGCTCGTTCTCTGTCAAATTTCCACTGCGCTGACAATACATCATCGTACGAGACATTGAATAGACTGAGTAGAGATTGATTTACCAATCCACAAAAGAAGCCTAATATTCCACCTATAATGTAATGAAACATACATCAGCTAATTCACACTGACTACGCATTGTACCATTTACAAACCAAATTTGTTTTCTCTGTTTTATCAAAACCACATCTTATTGAGGTTTATCAACTCAAATATCAGTGGTCAGGAAGCCAAAGAAGAACGATTTGTCCCAAACATTTATCATGTTTCTGCAAAACCAAATTTCCTCTTTAATCAAACTTACAATACATCATTTACTCTTCAGCCCCAAATGATTGAACCAGAACCTCTTTTTATTTGAATTTATAGGAATTGTAACTTCCAACACTATTGCAAACACAGTTTAAAAAGGCATACTCCTTACAAGGGAGCTACGTACAGCCTGCTGTTATATCAAATGGATTTAAGAACTGGTTTTGCCAATAAACATATTCCAAAAACGTAACCCAGTTGTGACTTTTTAGAGGTTGGCAGTCTGTTTTACTTTGCATTTGCTCGTCCACATAGCCCACAGAGATCTGTGCATGGAACATATCCAGCAAAGCAAGGAGTGAGTCGGTACAGCACGAGGGTAAGCTGTACTGATAAAAATTAGTTGGTACCAGCATACGAACTCACGACATCGTTGCCTTGGGCTCAAAGTCTGTGGTGCTCCTGACTGAGACACCGACTCAACAATAATAGGCAAGCATTGATTCTCTAGCTGGCTAGTAATTTGCTATGGTGAATGCCAGGATTTAAGGTGATTTCATGCATGTAGATTGAGGCAAACATTTTTGTATTATCTTAGTGATGATATTTCGTGGCAGATTTTAAGAGGAGGAATTTGATTCAGACACTGTGAGCCAGCTAAGAGGAGCAACTCTGGGGAAGCGAGCTGGTCTAGTGGTTAGAGCCCGGGACTTCTTCAGTCCCGGGTTCAAATCCCGCCAAATCACCAATGGATTTTATCTAAATGATATTGCCGCAACCCCTAGGTATAGCCTGAAGTAATGTGAAAAACAATCCCGGGCTCGTGCCTAGCGTCCTAGGACAAAAAAAGAGGGGTAATCCTGTTAAACTGAACACCCATGTACTGTACACAAAACTTGGGTGTTGGCTTCCAAGATGTTACTAGTTGCTGCACTATATTCGTTCTGGTTTTTACTTTTCTGGTAGATTCCTGTAAATGACTCTTAAAAATGCAGTGAGCAGCCCAAAGGGACCACAGATGCCAAGGCTGCTATTGATTAGTAATTTGCACAATCAACCTACCTACGGTTCCTCCAATAAGTATTCCTGTTGGCCCGAGTTTTAATCTCAGAATTGCTCCAATTATGGCGCCACTAGTCCCATAATCCAGAAGACTTGTAGATCCTCGATAGGCATGAAGCGAAAAAAACACCAAGCTGAAATAACAGTCAGGGAAAGAGTTGATTGAGATTTACAAAACAAAGAGACAAAAGTACACTTGTACCATTGGCCAAAATAAAGTAATACTACTCATAACTAACTTATACAGCTTTTTGAGGACTTATTTGGTACTTTGGTATTATAGCGACCACACCGAAAAATCCACTTTTAAAAAGCATTTTAATTAGGCTAGTTTAAATAGCAAAATCTCCCTACCCTAACCTAACCTAAAACGTAGTCTACCCTTAGGTTAGGTTATGTTATAATTATTAGGCGTGGTACGTATAATACCAAAGTACCCTTAAGCTCAAACATATTGTGTTGCTTGAAATTGATAAACAGATATTTGACACTAATTCGTGACTACACCAAAGTCCCGCCAACCTGAACACTATTAATCCGAAGGTTTGTTTAATCGAACCACCAGTTAGGGAATTATACATATACATTTTCATCACTGGGAAAAAGTCTTTGAATTTGTACGTGATTTTTTTACACACATCTTCTAACTAGGTGCTTAAACGTCACCGACATCTATCCAACATTTGTAAATTTGCGTTCTTTGCTCAGTTCCCGCTGTTTACTTGCACTTGGTAAGCCTATCCTGTTTTGAGGAGATTTCTAATCTAAATAACGATAAGTTCTATCCAATAACTTAATGTAAATTCATGTTTTTATTTTCAAACACACTAATCAAATAGGTTGAATATAATAAACCCAATTAAAATAGCAATTTATGTTTAAAAATTATTATGCCTAGATTGCATAAAACCGCTAGTTTACAGTTATTTTTCAAAAAATGTTTCCAACGGAAGACCCCAGGACCCCCCCCCCCACCTACCAGGGGAATATTCCATATCCCCCAGACCCCCCTGCCAAGGGGGGTGACTTGGGTCATCCCTGCTCCAGGGCTCTCCAATCGCGCTACACCACTGCGTTCCCTCCTTAACATTGTTTTGTTGGTTCTCTTTTTAAGGTCCTCGCCCTCATGTAGTAAGAAGAATGTGGTTGTAATAGATGTTCAGCGGTATTGTTGCAAATTTGCAGTAGATAATTGTTGATATTTCCATGATTGCAAAAGAGTATCACAGTGTTTTGTGATTGCAGGAACAATATAAGGTCATTTACAGTTGTAATAATACATATTTTTGTTTTATGTCCAATTTTACTGCATTTTCTTCTAAAAACAATTTTCTACGCCTTAGTAATCTGAACAGAGTTTGAAACACTTTAAAACATCATTATTTTACTCCCATAAGCTTTGCAAACCTAGACATGATTTATAAAATGCTACAATACTTATAAAAATATTGGATTGGAAAATGTTTTGTGAATTGAAAAATAATTTTGCGCCTAGAAGGAGGTATTTCAGCAACACTAAACAGTCCAAGTTATCAGTTTTTCTGCCAATTAGCAAATCTGCACTTTTCATTGTACAGTGGAGTACCGATAATCCGAACTTCGGTAATCCGAAAGTCCGCTTAATCCGAAACCAAAAAATATATTTTTTAGTTTTTTGGGAATTTTTTGAAATTTTTTTTATTAAACTTTTTTCACAGTTAGCTGTATCTCGTCAAAGTATTCTGTAGCGGCTGGACGAGATAGACATTTTTTGTAGAGTATTTTAGTAAAAATTTCACCATTTTTGTTATTACTGTAACATTTTACATTTTCGTCTGCCAAATCAAAAAAGGATTTTACTAAGTGATAATGCTGCAGCCAATAGGTCTAGCCTTAAGTAATGTGAAAAACGATCCCGGGCTCTTGCCTGCGTCCGAAAAAAAAGTAGTAAGAAGTAAGACAAAAAAAAAATTCAAAAAATAAAAAAAATTTCAAAAAAAAAACCTTTAATCCGAAATATTCGGTAATTCGAAATGGGCCCGGTCCCAACCATTTCGGACTAACGGGACTCTACTGTACAAGAAGTTTCACACTTTAGAAAAAATGTGTTCGTGTGTTTTGGTGGTTTCTTGTTTAACTGTTATTGGTTGATAGTATTAAAAGCAAACAAATGTGCAAATCTTACGTAAATCCACCGGTAAAAGCAGTCATCCTCCAAGCCCATTTGAACGCACCTTTTGCAAAATGTATCGTCACATGGTTTTGCAGTTTTCTCTGAAATAGTTTAAACATTAACTTACTACTTTTAATTTGATAGATATAACTATTGATTTTTTGTTTTTAGGTCCCCACAATCCAAAAACACCATCCGTTCATATATTGAAACATATAGGCCTATATGTTTGTGTGGGTGTGTTCGTTAGTATGATGGTCCCCACTGCACTAAAATATAAAACTGCAAAACTCAATAAAAAACTATCCTAATTTGATGAATTTTGGTATGAACATGTAAATCTAAATTTATTCAAACCAGCATGATCAGGCTATGGGAACATAAATATTATTTTCATTATATTAGAGGTAATATGAATCAACATTAGGCCTAATTCTCACATTTGAAATGTTTTGAGATTGTATTTGAATGAAACTTTAATGGATTTTTAAACAAATCTATTAACTTATGAAATCTATGTAGAAGGGGAACAGGGAACAGGTAGGCTATTATTGGAATGTGAGGCGAAGCAACACTGAATTTTGTGTATTTTACAGCAGATTTCAAGTACGGTAAAACAGAACTTTAAATGCATCTGATGTATGCTAGTAAAAAAGATGTCATTATTAATTTATTTAAAAGATACCATGGTTAATTTATTTTGGGTTCATTAGTTGTTGATATATTATTTAAAAAAGGAATAATCTATTGCATATATTTTCCATCACCACAGATAAGACCAAATATAATCAAATAGGGATATACAAAGCTCATTGTACACAGGGAGTGTGCCCTTTGCGGCTCTCCTCGCAATTTTGAAAAATATTCTGGTTAAATAAGTTACTTTACAAATTGGCCTACGTAAATTAGAGTGTGCACACTGAAAGTGTGCTGCACAGTCGTAGTCACCATGGAATTGTTCCACTGACAAAACTTTCAGGAGAATACAAGCAGAATATTTCCACTGAGGCATGCACGATCGTAGTCTGCAGTAGGAGTGGAACATTTTTGAAACATAAACATATTCCTTTTCTCTAGGGGAGACCCGGCGCATTCCCTGTGTGTGGTACCTTTATGAATGCTAGCCATTTTTATGGTGAATGTAGAATTTATAAAATTCCAATTTAAGTTAGCAATCAAATTTTAAAACTCAGGTTTTAAAGTAAAAAATTTTAATCACTTACTTTAGCATCAAGATGGTTATCGAAAATGGTTGCTTGATTCCTCTCCATGAAATCAACAAAAGCGTTTCGAGAGCTCTGAATCCCACCATACATGCTACCAATCATTGCTGCCAAATAACTTGAGTTGAGAATGGTAATCAACTCTTTACTGAATTTCCCATATTCACTGAAAAATGAACCAAAATTATGACATTTGAGCTACAATCCAAACCAGTTAGGCCTAAATAAGTTATTTCTCTGTTAAATTTTACATGTAACAGATGATTATGTTCAAGGTTAATTAAAATCTTATAGGTAATAAAGATGTTTAATGTGTGCGAGATTGTATTTTATTACCTACGTACAAGAATAACGTTACTTAAGCTGTGCATGTTACTGTGTTTTACGGCAATAAAAGATATTTGACTTGATTTTTGTCAGATCCTTCTTAAGTTAGTACAGTGGAAACTCATTCAAACTGCTTTATCTCTAAAACTTCTTTAGCCTAATTTAATTTCTTCTATAAACCGCTTATTGACGATGCTTTGCCAAAAAATATTCTTATCCAAAATATCACAGTTAAGACCCTAAAAATGTTTTTTTTTTCAATTTGACCATATTAAGTTAAATTTAAAATTGCATGCATCCAACAAGGATCAGCCTATAGTACGCTAGTCTATCTTAATTATAGTATTTTAAACTAGGCTATTTAAGCTTAGTGCTATTAAAGTTTGCTTGCTTCTATTAGTTAGATTGGAGTCTAAACCTTCGCTAAATCATCACGATGTTGTCCCCTGGCACTGCGGAGTGGGGGAAGCACAGCATTCTATTGACTGAGGGAACACCATTACCGCAACGATACGGTTTGAAGCCACCGGCCTCGGTGGTCTAATGGATAACGTGCCGGGCTGAGAATCTGAAGGTACCACCTGGCGGTGGGCGCTGGAACCTTCCTTTGACAGTCTATATTTATTCTATTCGTCTATATGATACAACTCAGCAACTTAAAATTTATACCCTTAGACAATACATTAAAACATTGAGTTAAAACAACCTTAAACATCCCTTACCTTGAACATACCTTAAACATTGAGGTGTTTATGGATTTTTAATAAAATTGAAAGAAAAAAAATCTTTAACCACCAGCCAGAAATTCACAGACACCGTAGCAACATCTCATAAGCAACATTGACTTAAGTTTTCTCTTGAATGTAAGTTGGTCTTTCTCTAACTTAAGATCAATAGATAAGTTAGACTGTTGAAAAGTTTAATTTCGTAGTAGATGATGTTGAAAAAAAGAAGTGTACCTAGTGTTTTGGAATTTTACAGTTGATCGCGGAGTGCAAGGGGTGAGAATCGAGATGAAACTTGGGAAGGTTTTGCCTAACAAATGACAGCGTCTCAAGGATGTAGGCCTAAACTTAAATGGGAGGGAAAGTAGCCTAGAGACCTAGGCTGGTGTGAGATGGTGGCAGATCAGGTAGTAACACACTTCAGCTAAATGTAGTAAATCAAACATGAACTTTTAGAATGGCCAGTATACACCCTGAATGATGCAGAAGGAATCCCACTATTCAAGGGAAGGAAATAGCCGAAAGGCATCTGACGCAGTCAATCCCACAAGCTGGGTCAAAGACGAAGACATCAAGTATCAAGTAAGTTCTAGCTAGGCCTAATTCTATTGGGTTTTAAACACTAGGCCTACAACTTACTCTCTTTCGAATATAGCTCTCACTCTTTCCCAAGGTGTTTTCTCATCATCGATAGGTAGGCCTACATAATTTGTCTGCTTGTTCTCTTCTATAGTATTGTTAAAATTAGGTTTAATTTCTTCTTTAATGCCTAAACTTTGTGCTGAAATGGTGGGGATTATTGGTAATAGACCAATTACCAAGATATTCTTATTCTTTGTGTTTGATAAGGTATTTAATTTAGCGTAGCTGAAATTTGAATTAATCACTCGAAACAGCCTTCGGTAGGTGGTACGAAATATGAACATTTTTTAACAAAACTAGAATATCGACATTACTAAGACCTCTTCATGCACAATAGTTATCAAATCACTAACTTCACTTCTAACTTCTAAGTCTTAAATAAAAAGTCTTAAAGTCTTGGTTTGGTCTTTCCTTACTCTTTCCCTTGGTTAGTTAGGTTATGTTATTGATGGTTGATGGTTAGGTTAATTGTTTTGTTTTGCTTATAGATTAGATATTACAGCTGGCTGGGAGCTAGAAGCAGAAGAGCAGAGAAATTATGTAGAATATGCATATTAGTCTAGCCCAGTTTCTTTCATGCAGCTTACAATTATTAAATGCAAATTTCAAATACTTTTAGCGAATTTCCCATAGGTATAGGGAATAAGCTATTACGGTAGTACTCATGGTAAGACCTGGACCCGGGACCGATTTCCTTTTTCGTTTTGAGGTCCCCTAGAGACCAAAAACACCATCCGTTTAAATTCATATATATATATTTATATACGTGTCCGTTAGCGCGATAACACGAGCAAAAATCATCCGATTTTGATGAAATTTGGTACAAACGTGTAAACCTACGTTTATTCGAATGAGTTCGCGAACCAGCATGATCGAACTATGGGAACAGGGGTTTATGGGGGTTTTATGGGCCAAAAATTGGTTTGCCCATACCATAGTTGACCCTAAAAACTTAAAATTTAGCATTTTCTTTCCAACCCATTTTGTAGAGCTTAAAAAACAAATAATTTAGTATATTGAAGCGTTATTAGGCGCCTAATGGTTGCGGAGAGAATTCCAAAAAAACTGTAAATTTAAAATTGCTATGTTATTCTTATGGAGAATAAGTAAACTGTTGTAGTTTGCTTGTTTATGATCATATTTTGATCAAATTTGGAAAATGCATTCATTTCATACTAAACTACTAACATTTTACAAAAAACACCTTTTTACCCTCCCTGTTGTAGCAAACCTAAGTACTGTACTCGTTAAACTAATGTTATTTAAATAGGGAATAAATGTGATATTTTTTAAGGAAGGAGACATTTTAGTGTAGGCCTAAATCCAATCAGGCAAATTGAAATTCGCTTAGTCTGCAGGTTTGCTGCGGCGGGGGTATTTTACAGATTATCATAACAAAAGTATGGAACAGAACGATCTTATTACATCAAAGAGCGTTTGTATGATTTGATTCAAATAGAATATTAGGTAGTATAGTGTATCTATGAAATAAATGGGTTAGGTAAAAAAAATAAATTGTTAACCTCAGAATATTTTAACTTTTTAAGTACATAACAAATTATTTGTTATGTTACCTATTTGTTTGTTAAAGTTATTAGAACAATCGTCAAACTTGGATGTACAGGTCGGGTGAATCCTTATTTAAATAGATCCGCAATCATAAATCAGTCAGTAATAACGTGTGAACAAAAGCCAACTCGGATTTTGTTTAAGAAGGTTAAGGTTATTAAAGAAGGTGAACCATATTCCAGAGAGGTAGGTTCATTTCCTGCGTTTTGCAAATGTTCCTGCTGCATTGCATTATACTTTATGTTTTTTATAGATTAAACATAGTCCCTTGCTTTATCTATGATAAAACATAAGGGACTATGTTTTCCGAAAGCCACTTTATTTGTAGTGAAGAAGAACGATTCAGTGAATTCAACATTGTTGTTCATGTTTCCTATCTTGAAATTAAACAATTACAGACGACAGACGCTTTTCGAGGAATATCCTCAGTCCTCACTACGTTAGTACAAGGCTTGGCTAGGTCGATTCGATTTGATTGATTATGAGCCCCCGTAGAGGCTGCCAAAAATTGCCGATGTGGGCTATATTTCAAGCCCCCATGGCGGGGTATTGGTAAAAGTTTTCAATTAGCAATAATCGCACCTCAGTTAAACTTCATTGGTTACGATATTGCCACTGCGCAAAGTTGTGTTGGAGTGGGGATTCAAGGTACCCAACCAAATATGGATGCTGTTTTCAAAGCGAGAGCCAAACGGTAAATTACAATATTGTTGTCTAAAACAAATTACAATTACTTTAAAAGCTATATAAACCTACTTAAAACATATTACTTACCACTTTCTGGGGATATTATTTATCGAAAAGTGTCTGTAATTATTTTAATTTATTAGGAAACATAACTACCATTTGTTGAAACTACTGAATCGCTCTAGCGGCTACACTCTGTACTACTTCTGTTGCTGTACGTAGTTTCGTTTTGCACCGCTAGAGTGCGGTTAGTAAAACAGCTAGCTCTTCGAACTAAGAAGTTGCCGAATGTAAAGAAGTTTCAGCACTTTCAGCTAGCTCTGCTAGGATCGCTAGCTGCAGTATCCGAATCCTCCTTTCCTCCAACGGCCCAACGGGTAATTCAATATTCAGTAGACCGGGTGATTGATTATAAATGGATATTGGGATTTTACAGTTTATAACTTGTATACTTTAAACTTACCGTTATAAATAACACATCAAATGAAAATTCAACTAACTCAGAGAGTTGAGATGCCTTACAACCACAACGATATATCATTTAGGCCTACCGGTAACAAAATCGATACAGTAGAACTGTAGATTTGTACAAGTTAAAAAGAAATCCTTAACTTTTTTCACCTGTATAAATTCGGAGGTTGCTTAACGTTTTTGCAAATAGGTTTTAAATGGTGAGGGACTCGACCAAAGTAATATTCCGGCAATATTCCGAAAGCATACAATTTCCTATTATACATTTCTTGAAAATCAATATAATACTAATATATAAAAATGAGATGGTGTGTTTGTGTGTGTGTGTGTCTGTCTGTTACTTAATAAGGCAAGAACCACTGAACCGATTGAAATAAAATTTTGTATGAAGGTAGCTTATATACCTGGTTAACATATAGGCTGTCTGATATCTGATAATCTGATATTATATTCCCCTTGGGCTACGCCCCATGGGCTTCCAAAATTTTAATGTTTACATTTTGGAAGAAGTTAAATAGTAAAAAATATTAATCGAAGTCAGCTGTAAATAATATAAATTGACAGTTCAAACAGCAATAGTTTGATTAAAATATTTATGAAAATATACTTATTTTCATGGAAACAGAAGGGTCATTACAATAAATAATTATTTTGGAATAATTTTGATATGGTAGCTTTTAGTTTAAAAATTTGAACTGATAAACAAATGTTTGGATCAGACTGGTACAGTTTTAAAAATTTAACTGACTCAATGTTTACACTTTTATTTGGGTTTTAATTCAATTTACAAACTAAATTTCAACTATACCAACTTTTATTCTGTCCAGAGGTAGCTACAACTTATATTTTCTTTTATCATCTATTTCACATTCGCTTGTTTAAATTTACAGAAATCTCCTTTGTAGTTAGTTGTGTTTTTACAACACTGCATTAATTTGACTATGGAGAATATCACAAAACTGCACGCAATTCACTTTTGTTTCTAAAATCAATTAAATATCTGTAACGTAACTATGTTTTTTTTTAACTTACTCAATGTTTTAAACCATGATGTAAATGAATGCAAATACATACACGTTTTGAACTATGGAACGATTTAAAATTATAACTGTTATGTATTATGTTGTTGTGCCCTGATTCAATAATAGTGGTTGGCTTTCTAACACAAGGTAATACAAGTTTTCCATTAGTTTATTTTTGCTTATTATTGTTATATATACACACTGATCTGCAGGTAAAGATTGAACTTTGTAAAAAGCTCAGTAGCTACGGTAAAACATATTAATTGTATGTGAAATCAATATAAACTGTTTTTGGTTTTTTTAATTTTTTTACTTTACTACACTGCTTTATGTTGTGCGATTATTGTTCCTTATTTACTTTATACAGGGTGGCTGAAAAGTAACTTGCACCCCCACTTAACTTTTCAACCATTTGAGGTATTTGAAATTGGTTTGCGGCAACCTTCTTAGATATGAGGGGCTACAATAATTATGGTCAATTTTGAAAATTTTGCCCTTAGGGGTAGCGGGGGTAGGGGGTAGCTCAAAATTTTCAAATGACAAGTATAGTCGAGTTTGGTATCATTTTACAGGTCTTGACGAAACATGAACATTGACATAAAGAAACCCAAAATCGGCTCACTAATAACAAAATGGCGCCCTAAAATGATTCAAATCCAAATAACCATGAGGGTGTCAAAAAATTAACTTGCACCCTCTTTAACTTTTTAACTATTTGAGATATTTGAAATCGGTTTGCGGCAACTTCTTTGGAAATGAAGGTTTACAATAATTATGGTCAGTTTTGAAAATTTTGCCCTTAGGGGTAGCGAGCTCAAAATTTTCAAACAGCAAGTATAGTCGAGTTTTGAATCGAGTTTGGAATCATTTTGTAGGTCTTGACGAAAAATAACAATTAAGGTAAAGCAAATAGAAATCGGACCATTAATAACAAAATGGCAGCTAAAAATGATTGAGACAATGGTTATTTAAAGTAATTTTGAGCTGCCGGTTTGTTATTAATGACCCGATTTCTATTTTCTTTATGTTATTTGTTATGTTTCGTCAAGACCTACAAAATGATACCAAACTCGACTATACTTGCTATTTGAAAATTTTGAGCTACCCCCTACCCCCGCTACCCCTAAGGGCGAAATTTTCAAAACTGACCATAATTATTGTAGCCCTTCATTTCCAAACAAGTTGCCACAAACCAATTTCTTATATCTCAAATAGTTAAAAAGTTAAAGAGGGTACAAGTTAATTTTTTTGCCACCCTCATGGTTATTTGGATTTGAAACGTTTTAGGGCGCCATTTTGTTATTAGTGAGCCGATATTGGTTTTCTTTATGTCAATGTTCATGTTTCGTCAAGACCTGTAAAATGATACCAAACTCGACTATACTTGTCATTTGAAAATTTCAAAATTGACCGTAATTATTGTAGCCACTCATATCTAAGAAGGTTGCCGCAAATCGATTTCAAATATCTCAAATTGTTAAAAAGTTAAGTGGGGGTGCAAGTTACTTTTCGGCCACCCTGTATGTACGTTTTCCCACGAAATAAATGTTTAAGTAAGATTATCATTTGAAAATTGATTCGTATGGGTACATTATTTCCATAAATGCATCAGCGCCTCATATAATTCGCACTAGGTAGCCTTATAAGTTAGTCTAGTCTTCAAGAAAGATATTTTTCAAACTAAGAGTTTCAATTGAGTTATGTTCCTGAAACCAAAGGGATGTGTAACTATTT